CCACCTCCTCCCACCCAGAGAGAGGCAACAGGAAACTGGCCACCCCAGCTAAATATCTTCTAATAGTAATGTCACTGTATTTAAAGGTTTGATGCCTGCAGATTTCCTGAAGAGAAATCTGTGCTTCTCAGCATGATACAAATATTCCAGCAAAACCACAAGCAGATCTAACAATGCTCAACCACAGAGTAGTGCAAAGCAAAAGTACTATGGTGGTAACAGAAACCTGCCAGTTAATTTCTCTTCTACCTACTCCAAAACTAGATGAAGATACACAAATTGCATATTTTGGGATATTTCAAGGTTTTTACCTTTTACCCAAGATTTCTGGGTATTTCTATGACAGCTGACCTCACTGCCACAGAGGAACATGTGCTTGAGGGCAACTGAAACATTAGGAAACATCTGCTCCGAGAAAATGTCTTTAATTTTCTATTAATTTATCATTTTGTTAAGCTCTGTTTCCCCAAGAGCCTTGCACTATTAAGAGTTCTTTATTGCTGCTGTTGTTGTTCTGGCTCCCTCCTTCTCTCCAAAATGAAAGCATTCAGAACAATATGTGCATTTTTTTAATATCTGTATTATTTTTAAAATATTTTATAAATATCTGACATTTTATTTCTTAGTTGAACAATTTTTATTAGAAAGCCTCCAGTCCAAGGTTTCTAATTCATCCGTTAAAGAACAAAAATGGCACCTGAAATATCCAGTGGCAGAAGTGTCCTTTGCTCTGTCCAAGATTCCACGGACCTGCCAGCCCCAGCTCCTTCGAGGCAGCATCACCAGCTTGGTCTCATGCTCAGAGGGGCTCTGGAGAGGCTCCCCCATCCCCTCCCACAGCACCCCAGCATCCAGCAACCCCAGATCCTTTTCATACTCCTCACTCCTGCAAGGACCTGGTCAAAGCCACATTGAGCAAAACCCAGGCCTTCGCAAAGAAACTGCAGAGTGTGAGGCACAGCCACTGTCCTAACAGAGGTGTTCTGGGAATTCACCCACAGCAGCCATCCCTGGTGCAGTGTTTAACAGGGAGCTGCCACTCCACTTCCAAACACCATTCCAGGCTCTGACCCAGCAGGAGTCCCACCCTTGTTAGCTGGGTTTCAGTCTGCTCCCAGGACATACATTTTTGCAGGACTTGGCAGGTTCCTACAGACTGCCACTGGTGGGTGGCAGCCCCTTTGCACCCGGAGCAGCCACCTCACGCTCCTCCCCTCAGCTGAAGCTCAACCTAAAAATGTCTTCCTGTCCCAATCACACTTGATCCTTCTCAATCTCACAGCCCTGACCCCAGCGCTGGCTCTGCACGATCCCACGCTGAATGCACAGGTGGTCACACGTCACCCTCCATTTGTGCCAAGGCTACCCCTGGCCTTGAGCAGCAGTGGGCTGGGTGGATCTGACTGACCTTTATCCATGGCTGACTGACCTTTATCCACGCTTGTTTGTAAGTCATGATGCTGTTTATGAAGTCCCAGCACTCAAGTTCCTCATGTACAATACTGGCTCTTCTCAGCACCAAGGCTGCCCGGCAGCTCTTCCTCCATTAACAAGTTGGGTTAATAGACTTGCACTTTTCAAGGCATTAATAACACTAACACGTGTTATTGACTTGGTCAGTCCAGACAGGTACCTTAAAATGAACTCTTACTCCAAAATGCAAAGGGTCAGAGGGATGCAGCACCTCTTCTGCAAGGAAAGGCTGAGAGGATTGTCCACCCTGGAGGAAGTTTATGGGTGGCATATTTGTGACCTTCCAGTACCTGAAGGGAGTGGAAAGAAAGATGTAGAAGAACCTTTTAAATGGGCATGTAGTGACAGAACAAGGGGGAATGTATTTGAACTGAAAGAGATTAAGTATCAGGAGGAAGTTCTTTATTGTGAGGGTGGTGAGACTATAACAGGTTGCCCAGAGATGTTGTGGAAACCCCATCCCTGAAAACATTCAAGGCCAAGTTGGATGGGGCTTTGAGCAACCTGGTCTAGTGGAAGATGTCCCCGTCTGTGGCAAGGGATTGGAACTAGATGGTCTTTTAGGTCCCTTCCAGCCCAAACCATCCTATAATTCCATGAAAACAAGCACAAGAAGACAAAGATTTAGTTGTACCACGTACACTCTGCTCTCTCTGCTAACAAAACAGTGCTGCAGGACAGCTGCTGACCAGCTCACCTGACTCCTGTGCAGCCACCACAGAACCAATCACACAGAACTTGGGCACACAGACATGGCAGCAGATGGATGTCATTGTATCTATATGATATGCAAATGACTTATTCAATTAACTTGCTATGGGCACTTGCCCTTCATGACCTGGAAATAATTTCACAACACATGAAAAAAGTGCCAAAGTGCCCAAAGTTAGTATTTCACAGAGTTTCCAACAGCATCCTTTCTGCATCATCTTTTCTAAAAGGTGACACTGCCAGCATATATACCCTGTGTGACAACACAGCTAACGAGCCCAGTCCACAGGAGAGCGCCTTCCACATCTCAGCAGACTCGGAACTGCCAGAGGAATTTCTCACCCCTTTGACTGCAAAGAACAACTAAAAATCTATATTACTTTTGTGTAATCCTTCTTCTGCTACATTACCTTGACTGTGGTTGAGTTGGTGTCTCGGCATTTTCCCATCCATCCATAAGTGTGCATTCCTCTTCAGCTACTCATACAGCAGCAGCCAGTACGAGAATCACGGAGCAGATGTGTTCCTCAGCAAGGCTGTCTCACACCCATGCAGCAAATGGACAGCAATACTGCTTTACAGACTACTCACTTCACTCAAAATTTAGTGGTTTTTTCATTTCCAAACAAACTATAAGCCAAATTGACACGGTCTCTGATAATACAATTAGATCTTTCTCCAGAAAAGTCCAAGCCTGATTGTGTTCAATGACACACATGTTGTCAGCTGTCCCATCCTTGGCTTACTTGGTGCAGCTCAATGCACACCCCACCTGCAACTCAGCTTTCAAGGACTGCAGGAACTGCCTCGCTCCCGCTTCACGGACAAGCAGACAGAATAACAATACCTGCAAAGATTCTTGAGACTTCTACTTCCCATTATTCTATTACAAGCTGCTCTCAAAAACACTACTAGGTAAAACCTTGATGAACAGTAGCTGATGTGGACCTAAAGAGGACGGGCACATGGCCCACGTGCTCCTCAAATACACAGGGCAGCACTGTAAGCACACACAAACCACAGACACGCCCTTGCACTCAGCACATTAAATTGGGCAAGTGCAGAGCAAAAAGAACAATCCCACACATGTTTTGGGGTCTGGTACCCAAGTAAGAAGAGAAATGGTCACAGCTGCAGGCTGCTTGTCAGAGCTGAACAGCTGGAAAGAGACATGGAATGAGACAGCAGGCACTAAAGGTGTTAAGACTTTAAATGCAATACCACAGTCTTCCTTCATTCATGAATACTCCACTTGTCATTTTCACATGCACATTGCAGAGGAATCAAAGGTCTCCTGACTTTTAAAAAAAAGCCATGAATCTTTTCATTCTCTTAAGGTTTGGGGTGGTTTTTTTTGGTTTGTGGGTTTTTTTTGTTTTGGCTTTTTTGTTTGTTTTTGGGGTTTTGTTGGTTCTGTGGGGGTTTTGTTTTGTTTTGGGTTTTTAGGGCAGGTGTTTGGTTTTCATTTGTTCTTGGGTTTCTTGGGGAGGGCATCCCCCTTGCTATTAGACTGCAACTTTTTTTTCATGTATCCGCACTCTCCTACTTAGCATCAAGTATCTTTCCTACAAAAAGGTGTCCACAATCATGTTTTCAAGCTTGAGAAATATGTTTGAGAATGGCACAGCCAGCTGCAGTAGAAATATAGCTTTATAGATAATTTTGTTGAGAATTGCACACACAAAAATTATATTCAACAACTACCTGAATAAGCATCTGGGGTTTTCTGAATTTTAAACACTGAAGGAAAAAAAAAGTTGGATGTGATTGTGAAGGGAGGTAGCATTTCACACAGGAACACAGTATTGAAAGCCCACCATGAAGATGTTTTGGCTATTGGTCCCTTCCAAAATGTCAGTTTACCAAACAATATTCACTTAACTTCCAGCACATGAGCATATACAGAAGAACCATGACCAATATAATAATAATCCTTCCTACTACATATTCAAGTAATGTTACCACACTATTTCACAAGCACAAAACTCAAGGCAGCACAACGCTCTCCACACCAGTGTATTTCAGAAGCAGAATACATGCAGATTTGGGGCTTTTTCAGTACCATATGAAACAAGTACTTGCAACAGTCATCCTGCAAGCCAACCAACAACATTCTTCCCAACTGGGCTTCTTTCACAGTGGACCAGAGCTCCCTTCACACGCTTCAAGGACTTGCGAAGTCTGCTGCGAAGTCTGCTGCGGAGGGCAGCTCCACTGTTCTCCCATTCCCATATCCCAGCAGTGTGAGCTCTGTCCTCAAGAGAAATGCCAGAGGGCAAATTACCACACTGCCTATGTGGAGCCCGAGGCAGGAGCAGCAGTGTCTTTCCTAACACTTTCTATTGGAATGACTACCCGTGAAAAGCCTAAAGCAAAAAGCCTGATTTACTTAAAGCCACTGATTTTAAACTTGGCTGTTTTCAAGCTCCTTGGCTTTCCTGAAAACCACAACCATAACTATGTTCTCAGTCACCACTTTCACAATTCAAAATTCATCTGGTTTTTATTTCTACAGTACCCACTTAACAAGAGCACAAGCATTTAGTGATAGCAAATTAGTACCAAGATTCAGGAATATCAGTCTCTAAGAAAAAAATGCAGCTATTAATATCTGAGATAATACATAATTATGATATGCACTAAGATCTACCTGAAGCATCTAGATCCAAGTTCTACATCTTACTTTCTCCTACTTTCCCCTCTTGTCTCTTTCAACAGCCATTTTGTACCAAAAGAAATGTTCACATAAAGTTCTCTTAATGTATTGAAAGAGGTTAGAGGATGGATATGCAATCATTTGCACGCACACCTAACACAAAGTTAAAAATCTGGTTTATTTGAAACTGTGAAATAAAATCCAATAAATAAAATGTTTAACATCAACACTGGACACTATGTAGGAAAACTCTGGAAAGACGGGATTGTTCCCTCGGTCCCCCAAGCACGGATGAACCACGAAATGACTTCCCAGCTCCCCACAGCCACGTTGTTCTCTCCACAATCTTCCCCCATTCACGGCAAGCCTTCCCCAGATGCACACTGCCAAACTCCCCCATGCTAGAGTCTCACCAGGACCAGCAGAACTACCCCAAAGAAGACAGGGCTCACAGGGCAGGGGCTGTAAGAGCAAGAGTAAGTGCTCACATTTCAGGACTTCTAGAGCGCATCTCTCTTCCTCACCCAAAGCCCTCTGAACAGGTTTCATGAACTCTGTGCTATGGCCAAGTATATTTTACTTTTTAATTTTTAATGAGCTATTATGAGGCCATAAGAACACATTGTTTCTCAATCACTTTTTGAGGTGGGGCACAGAATTGATCCCATAAATACTGTTTAACACCGCTATTAAATTACTAGGTTTTTCCAAATTGCAGGTTCTCTCTAAGTAACCATATGTTACATACACATTAAAAGTCTTTGAAGCAATCAATATGAAAATATTAAGATTTTATCCAAAATATAACTCCAAACAGCGTATAGAACCTCAGGCAGGAAGTCACCAAATGCTGTTAAAAATGTCACACCCTTTCAGAAATAGCAATAAAACATTCTGTATCTGCTTTGAAAACTATGGCACAGGGCAAAAGTCTACTTACTACCTTAAAAAATAGAAGTAAACTTGGGCATACCACCCTTTCCTTCTATCACTGGCACAAGTGAACTCTAATTTTTTTCTTCTTAGAAAGAAGGGTGGGGAGAGGGGGATGAAAAGGAGGAAATAAACCCAATGCATGTTACAGGTTATTTATTATGTAACTGGCTGTTGATATTGGAGGCACTCTTTGACAAGCCAGATGAAAACAAGCATATCCAGAAAGGACAGTACTCAATAAGGCCTCAATGTGGCCACCAGGTTGTGCTTCAATTCAAGTGAACCTTCCCAACAGCTTTTCTGTAATCTGCAACAAAGATGTTAGTCCATACTCAAGGTAAATCTGTTTGGTTTTTATACTATTGTGATGCCCTCTGAAGGCCAACAAGCACCAACCACTACATGAGTATCACTGGCTCATGTACTCAACAGCTTAAAGTCTTGATGCTACCAATCCATCCAGGCTTAGTTTGTACCATTTCTGACCCAAGAGACTTCAGGCCAGGGATCTGATTTGCTGGGGAGTAGGCTCTGCTCAGTTACTACCTCATAAAACAGCAATTTAAAATGTCAGACTTTTCACCAAATTTGGGTGATACTTGGATAGGGCTTCTACACATATGCACAGAGGTCATATACTCCATGTATCAAAGCAATCTGACACTCTCCAAAGCAGCTTTGTTTTTTGAAAAAGAAAATAAAGTAAGTGCTGCTGCCAAGCTTTGAACAATAGATAAACAACCAGGCCTCAACACCTAATGAAAAGGATAAACACTTCTGGTTAGCAAGATCTATTTAACAGGTAACACAACCATTTCAAGTCAGTTCACTGTAACACTTCAGTGGGCACCCAAAAGCCCCTCAGTCCTCACCATGTCAATACTCAGCAGGAACTACAGATCACCAGACTTAACAGGCACAGGTATTCTGACTGAGGAAAAAACCACAATGCCATGTATTTCACTGCTAACAGTGCACTGGGAATTTGAAGGGGCAATGGATGTAATGGCTGCAATCACTTCTTTAGTAGATAAACCAGAAATAGTTCAAAAGTATCAGGACTTAAAAATACAAATAATCAAATACACCTTTTTCACATAGTTCATCTTGTTATTTTAACCACCATTACACATTTCATTACTTAGAAAAGCTGACACTGCAGAAAAATAAAATAAAATAAAATTTGGTTTTAATAAGGACACGGGTTTTACATGGTGGTATAAAAAATGCAATGGGATCCTGGAGGGGAAGAAAAAGAAATGGAACAAAACAAAACAACAAAACAATCCTCCCCCCAAAAAGTAAAAATCACAAAAAAAAAAAAAACCAAACCCAACTCACAACACTACCCCCAAGGAAGGTAAAAAGCTAAAAGCTAAAACAAATTCCAGATGTTTAAGTCTGAAGGTTTTAGCTTTCAAAATACACAACTACGTGTGCCTTTCACAATAACAGTCACAAGTGAATGATATTTTTTGTATTACTGCACCCTTCAACAGGCCAGTCTGCAAGTTAAACAATATAATAAACTGCTAAATTGTAAGTAAGCAATTATGGATTGCTTTTAGCTATTATAAAAAGCTGGGTTACACATCCAATGGTCCATCTTTTAAATTCAAACTGTGCTTAATGTTTTTTAGTTCAGACATACTGAAACCCATCAGCACAGACGGTCTGTGACGTTTTATCGACCTTAAGCATCTATTTCTCATTTTTCCAAAGAATGATGCAACATCAATTTTCCACGCATATAGCAGCAAGGAAAGCAATTCCACCTCTTTTTTAGAAGGATATGGCCTCTTGTGAAAGTAGTCTGACAAAAACTGTCTCTGTGCCTCATATGAATTGTGATCATAATGATTAGGATCTACCGCTAGAAAGCGGAAATCCTCACTAGAAGGAACCTTCCTCATCTCAGTCCTAATTTTTTGTCGTTTGAAAGGCACCACCCCTGAATTCACTTCGTTCTCTGGAGACAGAGCTATGCCAGTACTTAAGCCCAGAGGCTGCTGTTCCTTATTCCTTTGGTCTTCTGTAACAAAGCAGGAATCTGATTGCTTTCTTTTCAGTAACACAGAAATATGCTTCTCACCATTCAGAAACAGCAGCTCTTTCCTCTCAGTGCGCTCAAGCTGCATCTTCAGGCTCGAGTTGGTGTCTTTGGGAGCACTTCTACAACGGAGCAAATGTACAGCAATGGCTGTCAGAGTCATATTTCCAGGGTACACACCACAACAGTGGATGCACTTGAAAGCAGGAGACTTTAAAATCGTATGCACAGTCGGCATTATATGATGCCTCTCTTTCAAATGCTTTTCATAGGTTTCTCTACCAGCAAACGTACCTAAGCAAAAGGGACAGGTGAACATTTTTCTGGTGCATCTCCTGTTCACTTGCGCTGTCTGAGGTTTCACTTTGATGTAAACAGGGACAAGAATTGTTGAATATACTCCAACAAGAACTGCCAAATGTACTTCCTTTTCACCCATGTCTTCGTCTGGTAGCACTGTGTTGAAATCGAAGTGTGGAAACACAAGGCCACCCTGAGCATCATTACCAAGCTGAATTCCTCTGTTGCTGTAACTTGCATGCAACTGCTTTCTCCCATTGTGTGCAGTTTTGTTGTGCTCCACAAGGCTTTTTAAGTCATAGAAAGTACCTGTGCAAAACAAGCAAGATAAGCCATGCATGAAGATATGCTTCATGAGCTCTTCCTCACAGAGAAAACATTTACAAGCGTAACACCGGATCGCCTTTTCTGTCATCCTCAGAAAAGGTGCGCAAGCTGCAAGTTTGTGAGGTTCTGGGGTTTCTACTTTTATTTCACAAGGTTTGTGGGCCACCTCCATGTGCACCTCATAGACATTTGACGGGAAAAGCTCATTACAAACAGGGCAGGTCTTCCACTGCTTGGCCTGTCTGACGGCCTGGCTTGTTTCAGGAGCAGGCGGGGAGGCCTGTAAGGATACATTCTCAGAGGTCGAAACCAGGGGAGGAGAGGGAGCATTGGCTGGTGACTGGGACAGCTGAGCCACTGACCCCGACTGCATGAGCTGGACAGGCACCTGTGGAGGTGTCACAGTCGCTACTCCACCGCCAGGAGGTACAGGCAAAGTGACTGAGACGGGGACCAGCGTGAAAGTAGGTATCCCATTAACCTGCTTGCCAGTGGGAATCAACTGCCTCAGTATAGAGCCCGCAGTCAAAAAAGCCGTACTTTGAGAAACTGGAGGCTGAACTGGCTGATTTACTGGGATAACTGCTGGGGCAACAGGTTGATTAAGCTGAAGAAACCCAGGTCCAACAGGCTGTGTGACAGGAACCACCCCAGAGGCAACAGGCTGGTTAAGCTGGAGAAGACCCGACCCAACTGTCTGTGTCACAGGTAGTGACTGGCTGACAGACAGAATTCCTGGAGCAACTGGCTGATTCACAGGGAGGACTCCTGGTGCAACTGGTTGATTCACAGGGCTGACAGGCTGAGTAGCAGGGAGTGTTCCAGTTGGAACTGGACTGTTTATGGTACCAATAGGTTGATTAACAGGAAAGAGCCCAGGCCTCACTGGCTGATTAAGAGGAAGAACTGCAGGGGCCACAGTTCTATTTATAGTCCCAACAGAATGATTAAGAGGGAGCCCATGGGAAACAACAACGGGCTGTGAAGGTGATGGCTGAATACCAAGGTTGTTCTGAGCCACGGGAGGATTGCTGGGCACAAGAGCAACTTGCAAGGACATAGCGGCAGAAGCACAAGTGGTTTGTGGGAGGCTGCCAGAGGCACTTGGGACAGTCACTGGTCCGACTGTGTTCTGAACTGCTTGTGTCTGCACCATGCTCTGGTTTTGATTATTCTGTGGAAATGCAACCTGGATGCAAGACGGAGCTGTCACAGCACCTGTTGGGACAGCAGCAGGTCCTGCAGATGGAGCGGCTGCTGCTACACTTGAGACAGGCTTTGGAGCAATATACATTTGTTTCACAAATCCAGGTTTCTTAAGACGTTCTGAAATCAGAGATCGAAGTTTGTTCTCCAGGTCTCTGTGTGTTTCAGCTGTCAATACATGGTACATCAAAGAATCTGGGTTGTTTGCAGGAGCATTACATTTTTTACAGTAGAACTCAAATGAATTTGGTGTGCTTTCATCACATTTCTCACCGAAATATACACTTAATAAGTTTTCAAAATGGTTCATCAGCACATGTCTCTTCATATTGTAATACAAGGTGTCTGTGAATTGACATTTTAGACATGTGAAGTTTATGATGTCACTCCTAAATTGTTTCATGCCATCCAAAATGCTGACTGTATAGTTCTGTATTCGTTTATTAGAGGAATGAAACATCCAGACGTGTTCTCCCACTACTTTGGGATGAGAAGAAAATGTACATTTTGGGCAAGAAACCACCATCTCTTGGTCAATTTCGTCCTCATGGCAACGATGCAAGTGATTCTTGAAAGAAGTGAGCAATTTGGATGAGAACTTGCATAAGCTACAGCAGTACGGCTTGGTTCTGTATCTCTGCAAACAAAAGAAAAACATTCACTTAGAAACAGCCACTGGTAACTGTTTAAATCTGCATTATCACCTGTCAAAAATGCCTTCGCTGGATGTATAGCATGTATCTTCACAGTTTTCCTCTTGGTGTGAAAAGCACATTTAAAGATGACATACTTAAGGGGAGAAATGTTTGTGCCTTTTTTATTTTCTAATAATTTACTAAGAAGCCTTAAATAAGTTTACTTCTACCCTAGTTCACAAGAAATAATTCTTAAGCCTGCCTGTTTTTAAAAACAGGAGTCACAGAACAATCCAGGAAGAATTTGTATTCCCACTGCACATAGGAATAGCAGCCCTTTTAATATAACACTTATAAAGCTTTATTTAGTCCAGGGCCAGCTTCTATCTACTGGACAAAAAAAGAAAAGACATAACAGGCAGGGATTTTCTTTCTGTATTTCAACAGCCTATTCTTCACTGAACACTCCCCAGAAGTAGCTTCCCAGCAAAAGCCATAAAAAACTGATTTTTTTAAGAACATTCTTTTGGAGCCAAAATAATAATAGAAAGTAGTAAAATCCCCTTTTTGTGATAAAGCAGCAATGTATTAACTCATATATACAATTTGTATTAATTCACACATACTGGGCATCGCATCATGGTAATGTTTTAGGAAATTTCCTCAAAAACACTCAGTGTAGAGCATACATAATTCTTCTCAGGAAAGTATTTTAACTGCTTAAGAACACATCTACCTTGCACTAAGCAGTGGTTTGCTCCCTGAGTTATGTCACATGACAGCACTGATTTTCATATCTATATAAGCATTATTTGCTCTTTCTGAAAAACTCCATCAACTGCTTTTTCTGATCAGCTTCCTAGAAGTTAACCCTGGTTCCTCCCAAAAACTACAGAATCAGTCACAGCAACAGCCATGCGACAAATCAGCACTCTCAAAAATCCAGTGGAATCTGTCTGTTCCCTCAGACATGTTTCTCACCCCACTGATTTCTGCCCTCATGAAACAGAACCCAGAGGGAACAAGCTGTTCTGACGCTACAGCATCCAGCCCAGTTAGATCACACATATCTCACGGACACACCATGAAGAACAGTAACACAACTTGCAGCTGCAACTAACAGTCCAGGTATGTACTGCAACTAACAGTGCAGGTATGTACTACAACTAACAGTCTATGGATGCTAACTCTGAAGCAGGGAGCACGGTGCCTGTGAAATTGCAGGCCACATAACTTCCTCAGTCTTGCCTGGGAAAGTGGCCTGGGAATTCATAAGGAGGAATTAAAACAATCCTCAGAGATAGAAAACAGCCTTGCAGGTGCTGTTTGTCTGTTCCTTGTTTTCTTGCAAGAAAAGGTCGAGGGGTGGGGTGGTATACTCCACTAACCAATAATGGTGATGTGTTAGTTTACTAACCAATAAGAGTTTTCTTTTCTGTACTTTTCATGTATTGGTCTATAAAAAAGACCTGAGGTAATAAACTGGGAGAAATTCTCCAGTTTGACTCCACAAGAGTCTGTGTCGTTCTCGCCGTTCCCAATAAAGCGACTAACAATGCAGGTATGGGGTTTTTTGCCATGGGATATAGCCAGGCAGGTTAGTCATCCATCTACTAGCAGTACTAGGACTGTCTCCTGATGATAACCAAAATTTATGCTCCAAATTCAAAAGACTGGGTCAGACAACGCCACTGGCTGGCTAAGGCTGTTCGGAAGAAGCACACTGCTAACTATCACTGAATTATCTTCTATTTATACTCTTTAGGTGTCTAATCTCAGCTGCTAGTAAATAGCAACAAAGCAAATTAGCAGACGCATCAATCTTGAAGTGTGAAGCAATCCCACCTGAAGAAAGGCCACTGACACTAATGAAGCACACAGACCATTACTAGAAGATATGCCTCACTACTTCTGAAGGAGTAAAATGGCAAAGAAAAAATTCCAAACAATTCTCTTTCAGCAGAACAGAAGCATGCGGAAGTACGCAGTTTTGAAATTCTCATAATCTGTGAAAGACAGCTCTTCCACACAAACACTTTACAAACCATTCTGCCAAGCATGTTCTCCTTGCATACTCATCTGCTTTTTCTGTTCACAAGTGCTACTACAGTCTATCAATGGCATGCCAGTTTTATAGAAAATTTGACAAGAATTACAAGCCACTTAGGAAAAACAAAGCATCTTGGAGATTGACCAACACAACCTTCAACTATAAAAATGGAATCTGAAAGAAGGCTTAGTAGAGACATTGCAGTAAACTCAAATCAGTCCTCCTTCAAAGAACCTACCCCAGAACATAATGACACTTCCTGTTGTGTAGTCTCACATTCCCCACAACCTAGAATCATGCAGAAAGACAGAACAGCCTCAAAAAAAACAAAGTTCTTTCAGAATTGTTAATGTCTTCCTAAAAATAGTATGAACAGTGGAAACCACCAACTTCACTTACACAGACATCTTCTCCAGCCTACTGAGTTTACAGGAAGAAACAACTTATTTTCCCCTTATGGCAACAACTTTGGAAAAGAACATCCTGAAGGATCTACTTCTTTTTTCCCAAATCTAGTCAGCATGAAATGTGAATGATACACATTAATAAACCAAAATTGTTTAAGGAAATGGACAGGAACAAGGTTAGTATCTAAAAGGCACAGCAAGTCTGCTCCAAAGCAACGTGTTATCAGCTCCACACTGAACTTCATTGACAGGTCTTCTTTAAGGAGGCAATGAGGGGCTCCAGGAGTCTTCAGCAGGACTGACAAGTCTACCTTTTTTTCTGGACATACTCCTCTGCTCTATACACAGCATGTTAGAAACTATATACAATTAAAGAATTGTTCACATCAACCCTGCCTTTCTTACAGAGTGTAGCTATACAGAACCAAAGGCTGTTTCACATACACAGTTCTAACCAGAAAGCTTTCCACTGCCACTAATAATAATTTCATCTTAATCCCCTTCCATCTATGCAATCACATTTTCACCCTTCCAATGAAACAGGAGCCAGGCTGCACACAAGACCATGCTAAGACTACAGATTAGGTTAGGCTAAAGGGCAGAAAGAACATCATCAGTGTGACATCTTAGCACTGATGTTCAGGGCTGTATCCCTAAAGACTGAAAATGGTAACTGAAGTCCTCATACCCAGCTGCATTACAGGGAAAAAAAAGCAGGAAATATAAGAGTATTCCCTAACTAATAGCACTAAAAAAAAAAAAAAAAATTAAAAAAATAAAGCTATTTTTTCCATAAAAAAGCTGCATTCCAATTTCTGAAAATTGTGAAATTCACCAACTCTACACAACATGTATACCCAGAATTTGAGTCACAAATATACATACCTTCCTTCTGCCCACAGGCTCCCAAGGAGAGACATCACTCCATGAAGTGTTACGAAAGTAGCTTTCACCTGCATCAAAACTTTTAAGATTCTAAAAGTAAAATAAAAACAAGAAATGAAAACAAGGCTTTTGCAGTCTTTTCTGAATATTACGAAATTCTCAGCCAAAAATAAGGAAAAGATAAGAAACGAAAACCCACACAAAGAGAGGATGACTTGGAAGTCACAAAACTCTATTCAAAGAAATTACTTCTTTGACCATCTTTAATTTATTTTACCTCAAATATTTGTTCACCTGACTGCCTGGTAATAGAGTAGGAATTCTGAACATTTCAGAGTTACTGAAAATAATACAGGGAGTGAAAATATTTACACTTGAATTCCACTGCTTCCAGCCAAGGTCACTGTGAACACTTAAAATATTTCCCCCCTCTACCTTCATCAGTAATATTTCATTGCTTGCTTCCATTTATTAACTTACTACTACCATTTACTTTGCAACAGGTTTTAGTATTAAATCTGCATAGCATTGTTATACTTTTAACTTGGAAAAACAAAAGACATTCAAAGTTGATTTCCAAGAGCTGCTTTTCCTGAAGCTGCAAAAGCAAAAATATTTGTGTTTGCAACAACTGTGTCAGGGAAAGCAACCGTCCTAACAGCCTTCTTCGAATTAATCCCAGCAGAGCAGTTCACATCCCTGAAGCAAAAGTCAGATACTATCCTAAAAATACTAAGTTCATCTCCAGATTCCTGAGACCCATATATATTTAAACACAAACTTAATGGAAGAAAAAAAAACCAACAAAAAAAACCAACCTAGATTCCTGTTCACTGGGCATTTCTGAAGTCCCTAAACTAGATTCAACAGCACACCAGAATGCTTGGATGAAACACAGGCTACAAATCCAGGCTTTACCCATAGAAAACTTGCATCTCTTCTCCCCTCACATTATTCCCTTTCACAAATCCCTCTTCATTCAAAACTCTGCAGATACTTAAAGAAGGCATGATTTCCATCTCCGTACCAAACCCCACTGCAACAGCAGATGCAGATAATAAATAACATTTAAGACAGGATGACCTTACAAAAGGAGTGGAATTCATAAATCTAATAGTTTGTGTTAAGTGAAATTTAGCAGCAACACAGAATATAGTCAGCAACAAGGAGAAACAAAGCTTCAGCAATCAAATACAGAATCCTACTTAATGCAGGCTCTATCTACACTAGGCTCTTGTCCATTTGCACCATGCAAATATGAGCATTCCTGTGTGTTCAGCAGGTTACAGTAGGCCAGAACGTCATGCCAGTGATAATCTGATTTTAACTTCATTATTCAAGAATTTAGAAACATGCAGCTGAGTTTGCAATATGCTGTCTACCTTTTCAACTTTCGACCATCAGGTATGCTCAAAGAGAATCCAGAGAAGTTCAGGGCAACAATAAATACATCCCTTGCAATCTAATCAACACCTAGACACTGAATGAGTCATGTATTTGTCCTTCTTCCAAGCCTAAAAAAAAACCCCAAAACTAAACAAACAAAAAAAACAACAAAACAAAAAAAACCCCCACCACAATCAGGAACCTTAGAAAGAACTCTTGCATGTAACAAAAGAACAAGAGAAATCCCAGAACTTTAGATAGAGAAAATAAAGATTTGAGATTTACTAAAACTTTTTCAGTAGAACATGCTGGAGTAAATTACGCAATGTTAGAAGGTCTCTTAAAGTTTATGGCTTATCTGCAACTTGTTCTGTTTTTGGTTTGAGAGACAGGCTCCTACACTTAAACACCACATTTCCACAAGCCAAACATACATAATACATCTAGATAATTTTGCTGAATGGCTATTTCCTACAGAGGAATATATTTTAAGAAAAATAACCATTCTTATCAATACAGTTAGTCAGCGGTGCAAATGGCTGTTGTGAACCCTTGCTTTAAACAGAGATCCACTAATTAGTTATGCCCTTCCCACATTTCTCACTTCCAGCAGGGACAAAAACAAGAAAAGTGAAAGGTAATAAGAAAGGAACAAAGACCTCTGAGAAGCCTGACTAATATCCTTATGCATAATGGTTATTTTTAAGTTGAAAAGAAAAACATTTTCAAACTAAGAACTGTTCTCCCCTCTATATCAAAACTATCATGGTTTTCCATAACAAAAACAAAAAGCTGAGAGTTTAAATGAAGACACAGAATCATAGAATAGAACATGGAACCATTTGGGTTGGAAAGGACCCTACAGATTATCTAGTTCCAGCCCCATCATCGTGGGTAGGGATGCCACTCACTCAACCGGGCTGCCCAGGGCTCCATCCAACTTGGCCTTAAACACTGCCAGGGACGAAGCATCCACAGCTCCTCTAGGCAACTGTGCTACTGCCTCTGCACCCTCTGAATAAAGGACTGCTTCCTAATATCTAATCTAAACCTACCCTCTTTTAATTTAAAACACTGCTGCCCCTATCTGTCCGTATAAAAAGGGCTGCAATGAAGTCTCCCCAAAGACTTCTCCAGGCTGAAAACCCCAGCTCTCTCAGTATGTCTTCAGCTTCAGAGCAGAGGTGCTCCCATCCTCTGATCACCTTCATGGCCCTAAAGATCATAATACGTTAGAAAAGCTGAAACTGTTTACAAAAGGAAAACCTCTGACCTTCCAGTGTAGTTAAACACACTACTTGGAGAATCAAACTAGTACTCCAGCCAAAATGCTCATGTTTTCTTCCTAGCAGAGGTCAATTAAGCTAAAAATTAATCCATTTGCTCTCTAAGCTACAGAGATGAACTAGTCATACATGATATTCCTTCATCTTCCACACAAACTACTGTCCATTATCATGCCTTATAACAACAGTGCAAGACCAATGTTAAGACCAGATGCAGGTCATATTTGCAGCATATCATATTTTAATCCACTTCCTACATTGTCCACCCCGTTCATAAAAAAGTCCAGAAATCAATCTCAATATTTGAGAAAACAAACAAACTTTAGGTACTTCTCACTAGATGGTCTTCAAGATCCCATCAAACCCAAGGCCTTCTATGATTTTAAGTTTTATTAAAACCTCACACATCCCATGCTAAAGAAATACCATAATTGTATGAACCAAGTACAAATCAAGCTATAGAAACCACTCTTCCTACTTCTCAAGTTGTACTGAAACTAGTCTCAGATTACCTGGAAAAAACAAACTGAAGTTATGAACTTGGTTGAGAGAGAATTATTTGCAAAAAAAAAAAAAAAAACCAACATGGTACTTTTTGGCCCAAATCTCATAGAGGTTTTTCCACAGTGGAAATGTCTGCCAGGTTTCCCACCTGTTATTAAAAACTAAGCAAAATAAACTAAACGCAAATTATAAATACTCCCAAAAACAAAACAACTTATTACTTATTTACCATTGAAGTCCATGCAACAATCAAAGAGACCACAAGCAATTTCACAGTAAAAACCTGTCACCATCAAAACATTCCTAGTTCAAATGTTCAAGACAGATGCAGCCTCCAAGTTAGACGTGTGATTACAGAACAATATTAACAAAATAAAAACAGCAAGTAAATGGAAATTACTAGACATTATAATTTTCCTTGAGCTATTACAACATTTAGATATATACAACACTGTTCAACTGCAATAACAAAGAGTGTTCCAAAATCTCTTATGCATATAGTCTTGAACAATTTTTTTTTCCAATTATTGACAGAATTTCAGAAGGAAACCACCTCAAATGACACAACAGCACCCTTACAGAGTGTTAAGCCTACTTTAGTACTGCCATACAGAAGCAATCAACCTCTTTCTTGACTATGGTCAACATCCAGTTGTGAATATACTCAACAGCCAAAAAAGCCTGTGCACCAGCTCACTGAAATACACTATTGTTAAGAAATGGTATTACATTCCTGTGTTTGCACTTTTTTGGTATTAGGCTTTCCAATCTGATGGTGTCCATCTTTCCTGATTGATGCACAGAATTTTCTTCTGGAGGTGGCAACAGCAGTACTAGGTTTATCTTAATCGCCCCAGTACACCTGCATGTACTTTTTAAGATGCAGAACCAAACTACAACTCAGTAAGACCATGTTGGTATTTTTCACTGGACACAAAGTTTAAAGGCTTATCTATTTTCAGAAAGACTTATGATTTGCATGTCTCTTCAGAGGCTTGCCCTTCATATGTGATGGGATGCCTTTGAGGAGACTCAGGTCCTCATCTGCTTCAGATTTTAAAAGAATTGAAAAAAGTTGCTGCATAGCACACAAATAACAATTCATCAGTACGTGGCATTTTTTCCTGAAGCTGTACTGTTTCCTTTTGTTGAAACATTACTAACAGAACATGCAGCACCATCTGTAACACATCTAGTTAAGAAATACACCCCCTTGCAGTGTTACATACTAATACACTAAATTCCTGGCCTGGGTAGGAGCAGTCAGGTAATGAGTGACCCCTGAAGTAAGGCCCCACAAAAAATATCTATGTCAGAAAAGCATCATATATACACCAGGAAGTGAAATATGTATCAGAAGTTTCCATTTCAGATTGGTTTACATTCTTTTAAAAGCTTTACCTTCAACAGTTCCCTGCAGTTGTCAAGCCCAAGATCCACAAGAATGTCCTTCACCTTTTTTCGAGCCTTCCTTATGTTATCAAGGTTTTGAACAGGAATTTGAAACATTTTGCACTTTTCCTGGGGGAAGAAAAATACAACCAAAAAAATTAAGAAACAAAATAAAAAAAAAAGAGAAAAAATAAAAAAGAACGAAAAAAGGTACAAAATACTTGAACATAGAGATTTGCATTTAACGCTGTTAAAATAAGAACTAAAATCTGAAAAAGAATAGAAATATTTAGGTTAGAAAAGACCTTTAAGATCATTGAGTCTAAACATTAACCCCCCACAGTCAGTGGACCATTATCCATGCCTCTCATCACTATCCCTATGTGTCTTTTAAATACCTCCAGGAATGGGGACTGAACTACTTACTTCCCTTGCCTGCCCATTCTAGCACCTGGCAAACCTTGTTCTGAAGTTTTTCCTAATATCCAATTTAAACCTCCCCGGTGCAACTTGCTCTCATCCTGTCACTTGTTAGAAGAGACAGATCCCCACCTGGCTACACCCTTTCAGGCAGCTGTAGAGTCCTAAGGTCTCCCCTGAGCCTCCCTTTCTCCAGGCTAAATGAGCCCAGCTCCTTTAGCCACTCCTCATGGGATTTGTGCTTCCCCAGCCTCACTGTCCTGCTCTGAACTCACTCCATCTCCTCACTGTCTTTCCTGTGCTGAGGGGCACAACACTGGACACAGCACTTGAGGTGAGACCTCACCAGTGCAGAGTACAGGCTCCATCACCGCCCTAGTCCTGCTGGACACACTTTTGCTGATATGGGCCAGGATGCCATTTCTTAAATATGAAAACCCAAAATCCTTAAGCCAAAGAAGTGGGCTCGTTAGTATTTCCCAGTAGATCACCTAACTGATTTTAAAGGAAACAGAATCTAATGTGGGGAGGGAAAAAAAATCTTTAGATTTCTTCTATCTACAGAAAATTCAGAAGTCTCTTTGATAATTTTGTTTGCTGTCATGCATGTAACATGCCTAAAATATAACTGCTAATAAAATCTAGATTTCCTGCAGAAGTTTCTACTTTTGCAAACTTGTAAGGTATCCTCATGGGCTCAGCTTTAGAAATATGTCAGCCTTTGTCAACTCCTTCCTAGATTACAGCAAGATGCAATTTAGGCTGAGCTTTAAGAAACCACAATAGACATAGAATGCAAAACCTAAGCCTAAGCCTGCACTGGAAAAGGTCACTAGAAGCTTCTCCAGTGCTTAAATAGCTACCGGAGGATCCAGAAGTGTTCACATCATCATATTCCTTACTGCTAAACAATTCACCCATCCAGGACACACTTGAACAGGAAAAAGAAAAAAAAAATAAAGAAAGAAAGAAAGAAATCCCCAAACAGTACTTCAGCACAATTAGTCTCAAATGTCTTGAAAAGCTGTACTTTACCAAAAAAGCGAGTTCCCTGTCAATACAAAAGCTCTACTCTGAATGATAAAACTTTCATGCAAATAGTTGCAAAAGCCCCTTCCACATAAGACACCAGCTACAAGCTAAGCCTGAAAAAAAATACAAACCCAAAACAACACAAAAAAACCAAACCCCACAAACCATACAAAAAATGCTCTAGTGTGTATGTAACCTCCTCAAACCTTAACTTATATACAAAACATATAATTGAGGGGTTAATAATTAAAATTGAAACAACTCACATACTATTCTTTGCTTCTTCTCCCCCAAAAGGAAAGGTGTGTAGAGAGAAATGGAGAGGGAACCCCATTTGACAGATGCTAGTCTTGTTTTCTAATGTTTTTTATCACCAAGCAGTCCAGAAGACATTCTGATACCATTGGGGTGGGTGTAGAACAGGAACCTAGAGAGAATGGAATAAATCAGAGTCACTGGACTAGTATTCTCTCAAAATGCAAAGAGCAAAAATTTGACATAAAATCAATTTCACTCTTTTCAAAGCAAAGTCCACCAGGAATTTGCAGTCTCCAGTTAAAGCTTTAAGATCAGTCCCTCTAGGACAGCAGTTTATGCACATCAAACCCATGGTCCAGTGCAGGTAACAACAGAGCTAACTGGACACCACCATGCCCAGATCAGCCAGAAGGAGACATGGTTCAATACATTAGGCTCAATGCAAACAGTTCCCCCATTTCAGTCTTCCTACTCATATGCTGACACTACTGAAGAATCTGAAGCAGGCATTTGTTGAGGCATGTTTAGCTCACAAATAAGAAACAGTCTACAAGGCATAGTATGCAACATCCATGTACCTCAACAGTCTTCTTAACCAGTAATCAGTCTGACATTTTTAATCCAGGAGAAAGAAAAACACACCAAAACCACCACTGTAACAGAAAAAACTTGAATATAAATTATTTTCCAGTTTCCAAGCAGTTGGTCTTCAATCCAAAGGTCACCATGTGCAATCACATGCAGTGTTATTCAGTAGGTATTTAAATAACCTTGCTGTGAGTAAGGATCTTAAAAGACCTCACACCAGAATCACAAAATGACACAATGGTTTGGGTTGGAATTGTCAGGAAAATTAATCCACAAACACCAGAGGTTTATCTCCAAAAAGGAGACAGAGGAGTCCTTTCACTTTATTCGAATAAAGGGAGAGGCCATGGGGCATTCCCCTGGGGTCTCTCAAATTTTTGGAGGGCGCAGCCTCCTTTTTACCCTGATTTCCCAGCCACGTGTCCCTTCTCTCTTTCCTCATTGGCTGAGGTACTTGAGAGGTACAGGCTTCCTGGAACACCTAATACTCTTGTGGATTTCATGGTGCTTCCTCAGTGCCTCCTTCATCCTTCAATGGAATCCATCCCATTATTTCTGTTATCTCCCAGTGATAGTTTCACCTTATCAGCAGACCCACAGCTTGTTTGTAAAGACAAACCTGTCATTCCTCTCAGAATGGACCTTAAGGATCATCTAGTTCCAGACCACCTCCCATGGGCAAGGGCACCTCCCACAAGACCGGGTTGCTCACAGCCCCATCCAACCTGGCCTTGAACATCTCCAGGGATGGAGCATCCACAACTTCTCTGGAAAACCCCTGCCAGTGCCTCAACACCCTCACAGTTAAGAATTTCTTCCTAATATCTAATCTAAATTTGTCCTCCTGGGGTGTCTCTATCAATTAGACCAGCACTGCCCCACCATAAAGGTCACAAAAGATCAACCTTCTAAGCTGACTTCCTCGAGCCCTCAGTTTAATTCCTTGATTATTATGCAGTTTATTATCCATATTTTCATACTAGCAATTTATTTTTCTTGTAGTTCAGACACCATAGTTTGCCCTTTGGTTCCACGCATTTGTTTGTCCACATTCCATTCTTAACCAGCAAATTTAACCTGAAAGGACTACAGTAAAACCAAACTGGGGTTACCGAGAGTCTTGATCATTTTAGTGTGCGCTGCCTACCTAAAAGACAAAAATTTATCCTTCACTGCTTTTAATTGTTGTTTCCAAAAAAACTGATAATGCACTGAGTTTTTATACTCAGTGTCATTTCATGAACAGAACCAAGGCAAGTTTTTAGCAAAATAAAAGAATAATTTTAGCGGCTGATGTCTCAAATTCAGTTCTAAGGCTATTCAACTCTTGCTCAGGCATTTTAGCCATTAAGCTATTTCTGCACTTGTTTCTTGTTCAGATAACATCTCCATAATTATATACATTGTGGAACTTTATTCAACACTATATATCCTTTCCTTTCTACATTTGTTATCATAGATTCTAACACTCAACTAACTACATTTGCCTTTTCAAAGATTACAAATGCAACTCTTCCCTTCCAGCAGTACTGCAGTACTTTTTTAAGACTATCCTAAAAGACAGGGTAACAGTCTGCACAGTATCTTAGTAGTCAAAGATACCAGCTTACAAAGTAACTATCTTTTACTATCATTTCTCTGCATTAAAAAAAAAAGCAAAACCACTAACATTGCACCTCTCAAAGTAAGAAGTCGTAACAAAATGCTGAGTTCCTATTCATTCTACTTCTTAGACCCATTCTCATTCACCTTGGAAGAAACCTTGAGAGGACACCAAGTCCAGCTTCCAGTAATTAATTGCAGCCAGAGCATTCTGTTTTGGCCAGTCAGGTTTGGCAGCCTCTCTGGGCAACCTCCTCCAGTGACAGACTGTTCACATTGAAAGCTTTCTTCCTTACATGAAATCCACACCACTTTTGTGATCCTACAGGAGGTAAGCATTTGCAAGCAAATTGAAATGGACTTGGTATGGAGCAGGCACAAAGAAGATGCTCATATGTGTGAATCCATGCATTCAATGGGCATGCAAGTATTTCCAGCAAAATCCAGTGAACTAGATAATCAGGAATTTCTAGAGTTTTCAGGAAAAGAGGCATGTTAGAAGATCCACAGAGAAAATAGCCATAATGTAACCCTTTTAGATACCAGATAATCTGTACAGAAGCAAGATCTCCAGATGTGCTCCTAAGTGGTTGGCCTTCACTAGTCTGTTGCTCAAAGAACTGTTTAGAGTGGGGAAATTGTGAATGACTTATGAAACTTTGTCCTTTCATAGTATCTGCCTTGGAAATTGAATCATTCATGGTTTTTGTAACTTTTACCTAGTAACTGTCACTAGTAACTGAGAAAGAGACTTTTATAAAGACTTTGGTCTTTTTAAAAGGTTTGTACCTTTTATAGGACCTTTATAAAAGCTTATAGGTTTGGAGCATTTGGGTTGGAGTATTTTGAAAGGTTTATTTACCAACTTGTATTTCAGCAGTTAGCAGAACTGACAAGCACCGATAAAGAATTATTTCATTATAGTAAACTCATCAGAAGTTGACAATTTAGTATCAGCTCAGAAAACAATAAAAACTACTTCATTCATGAAACCAGAATGAAAGCATGTGATCTGTTTCTAAGAACACAAGGAACAAGGACACTGGAGGGCAGAGAGCACAGCTAGGAGGACAGGCACACTAAGAAATTTCCTAGAAGAATCAGCATTTGGCTTGGCAATGCCAGATTTTACTCTCATCAATTTTGTTTTGTTTCTGATAAGCTTACAAGTCCACTAAGAAGTCACGCCTGGGGATGTGGCTCAACCACACATTACATGGTCAGTTCCATTTCCTGGACTCTTTTATCTCTGCCTTCCGGAAGAGACCCAACCAGATTTACAAGCACATTATGTCGGCACCATCAAAGCTTATCCAACCTACGGAGGGAGAGAGAATAAAGCTTCCTAAAGAAAAAGTTGATTGACTAGATGAATGCTATTCCTGTTTGTTGTTTTATCTGTTTTAATTTAAAACAAATTTAAACAAAATTTAATACTCTAATAAAGCTTACAAAGTTTGTCTCTTTATCTTCATATATTAAAATTTCTATCCAAGGGCAACTTAACAGAAAACTCAGGTAGAGAAAAAAACTTAACTCTTCCTTGTCCAGGTATATCAGAAACCTCTGGGTATTTCAAATCATACATCTCTTAGAGTCATAATAATTCTGCTGTTTTCATGGCTATAAATCTATATAAACATCTATTAAAAAGGTCACCTTGCCCAACACCAAGATGACCATCATTCAACAGCTGCCAACAAAATGAAGAGCAGTAGTATATGTGATGATGGAGATGAAGATGCAGCACAACAACCTGCATCTTACCTAATAAATCTAAGAAAATTTAGATCACAAACTTCCACTACTGTGATTTAAATAACTATTGTGAATGTTTCATTAACACACAACCAAGTCCTTGCTATCCAAGACTGGTAAGAGACAAAGGAACGCTACCATAAAGGGACACTACCATAAAGGGACACTACCATTTCAATTCATGGAACCTTCCAAAAGCACTAACTCTCACAATGCTTTGAATGCCTTGGGAGTCCCTTCTGGGCATCGGTCGGAACCTGAACCTTGATCCCTGCAGGACCCAAGTTTATTCTAGGTGATATATTCATCTGCATAGAGCCCACTCAAATCCTGCAGGATCTGTCAGCCCCATGTGCATGTGAGCAGAACAGTCACACCCTGAGCACAGCTATTCCAGGATGGAGTACCACTGCATTTGTGCTGCACTTTGTCAGCTTGGTGTGGCCCCAAAACTTTGCACTGTACAAATGCACACAACAGTCCACCACACAGATAATCCAAAACCTTAACAAGTCAGAAAGAGGACAAAACTGAAAAAAACCCCAAAACCTAGGGCTGTGCAACAGGTTTCAGAAGGACTGAAGTGTTCAAACACAAACCAGCTCCACCAGCAGTAACACTTAGTCCAAATCCAGAAGCTCTCAATGGAAAAAGGTAATGCGTAACAAAACTGTCTGCATTCTTCCTTGTTTCTAAAGATCTGCTGTAATTTTTGGGAAATGTTTTTATAAAACTTCCATGAAACAAACCACAGAAATTATTACAGCTTATCATATAGAGTATACCTTATAATAGGTCTTATTACAGCTTAGCATATACTTTATTTCTTACCCAGTTCCTCTGAATATTGTGCTGAAGAAATTCCCTTTTTTTGATCAAAATTAAAGAGAAAGTTTATTAAAAGGAGCACTGGGATTTCTAGAATATAGATTCAATAACTCAAGAATCTTTTTAAGTATTTCATTATAGCTCTTTACAACTGTTTTTTACAAACACAAATTTTTTGTTGAAAAACTGAAAAACCAGAAAATTCTTAAGGGCAACAACGAATTCCTCCCCAGTAATTTACCCGTCACAATTTTATCAGCTGAAAGTGAGTTGTTGCTCATAACTTTGACAGTACAGGACTGAAACACTGCAGCAGGAGTCAGACACGTGTCTTTTATTCCGTTTACAAACCCGAACAACTGGAACTCCCCATTACCTGCTCTCGACCACAAAGCAAGAGCACTCAAATGGTTTTCATGGCTTGCATTGTGTGGATTGTGTTTATTTACATTATTCATAAACTTTTTTCCTAAACGAATGCATTGCTGAGGCACCACAAGGATATTCCATATAATTTTACATCCCATTAACCGATTACATTATCCGGTGATGAAGTGCTGGTTCTGTAGGTGTGCCGTTCCTGCCCACGCTACAGTTTGCCACAAACTGCTTCAAATTAAAACAATTCATTAAAAGCAATTAAAATTATTCATCCACAGACTTCAGGGCAAGCCATTAAGCTGGTTCCTTAAACACTTCATCGCTGAAGTGCGACCTGAAATTAAACAACAAACGCGAGAAGAGCGGTGATAACGAGCTGTTCACAGCCGGCAGCGGGGGAGCGTCCCCGTGTAAAGCGCCTCACGCGATGGGGCCGCGCCGGACCCGTCCCGTCCCTTCCCGCCCGCTCGGGGAAGCCGCTCCGAGCTCGCGGCGCCCGCCGAGCCGAAAGAGCGCAGCCACCAGGGCGTTCGCCGCCCTCCGCCCCGCCCCGCCGCACGTACCCGGCCGGGCTGCAGNCAGTTGGGGGCGGGGCCCAGCCTGGGGCTCACCTGCGCCCATTCACACCTCTAAGGGGCAGCACTGAGCGCTCTCGCGAGAGCCGTGACGTCACACTAGGGCGGAGCCTGATGACAGCATGCCCAGGTTGTCACATGACCACCCAGCACTGGGCTGCATTGGATGATGGGTGGAGCTTCATTTGCATCTGCTGCATTTTGGAGGCCACGCCCACCCACACTGGCCAATGGGGCAAGGCAAGGCCTGGCGGGAAGGCTCCCCATTGGAGGAGCTCCTGTGGGCAGGGCTCACACACCTTGGCACCATGGCGGGGCTGGGCTGGGGCACCTCGGCCAGCGAGGCACGGGGCAGGGCCCGGGCCCAGGGCCCCTCTGGTGACGCCATCCGGGAGCGTGGCACTGCCACACCCATGGTGCTGGAAGGCTCCGAGGTGTGATGGAAGACACATCGCTGCAAACGCTCTCTACCAGACGTCTCCATGGCTGTCCACTAACAGAGGTCTTGCTCTTCCCATGATGGCGGATGGTTTCTGACGGACACAAGATGCAGAGCCAATCCCCTGTGCAGGCAGGCAACAGCCATACCACAGGGACCAAGACAAGTGGCCACAGCAGCAGGATAGGTGACTCTCCACCACCGAAACCCTGTGGCTCTGCCACCAGAGCCAGCAGGAGGCCAGTCATGACAAGAGACCACATAGGAACATACTGGATCCCCTGCTTGGCACATCAGGACCTTCTCCCTGCATCCTTACCATCTTCCTGGCACAGCTCTCAAAGCTCTCACGAGGTTGACCTGGCTTTGCTTAGGCCATTTTCAAAGGCTTCACAAACTAATGGCTTCAACTAGAGATTCCCTAAGTGTTCACCGTGTGAGTGAGATACTCATCAATGGAAGCCAAGGGAGTTTTTCCCAGGGGCCTGGGCAGCCACACGATTTCACTGTTGGTCTACACACAGCTCACTCGCAGGTCAATGTGCACTCAACGCCTGTGAAGGCCATAGCAGCAAACTGGTATCTTCTCAAAAAGTAATACAAACCAAACATTCACTTTGGCAGAAAATTATTCCTTTTTTATTTTTTGCAGCAGTGGCCACAAAATTTATTTATCTTTGCAGTCAACATTCCAATAAGTACATTGAAATTTAATTAGGTTTTGGGTTTTTTTTTGTTAGTAAGTTCCTTAGCCATGTACTTTCAGCACAGTGTATATGCAGTAAGGTTGTAGGTAAAAGCATTTACAGAAAAAAGGGGCAGCCATCCATGAAAGATAAAGTATCCATAGTAGATATAGGACCACAATATAAAAAATTGTTACTTGCAAAAAAAAGCTACAGAGCGAAGAGGGATATGTCCCCCTTAGTTTAAATGTAGTACTTAAAATAAAGGTATTAACTTCTGTCTAATAATTCATAAAGAAAAATAATTTAACATGGCTGTGCCAGTATGAAAGTGCCCAGTGACTCCCATATAATCAACAACATTAGACTTCCATTGCTATGGAATAATTGCAATAATTGCAAAGTGTTTCAAACAATGGATATGTTAAAGAGATTAAGCAAAAGGTTAAGCAAAAACATTTGTGAAAGGGTCTTTCACGGCTGAACAATCCAGCAAAACTGTGGGATATGTCCTCATTTTCACAGAGCCCCAGGATGGCTGAGGTGGGAAGGGACCTCAGGAGGCTATCTGGTCCAACCCACGTTCCCAAGCAGGGCCACATGAAGACAGCAGCCCAGGGTCATGTCCAGATGACTTTTGAGACCAACCAAAAGTGTCTCCTAACAGGTGGTAAAAGCAGGAGCTACTTTATAAAAAGGGCAAATTAAATGTATCCACATAATAACTTCAGTTGTAAATCTGTTACCTGTTTATCACCAGCTGCCAAATCCCGCAGTGTGCTCAGCAAAATTGGGTCATGTTTCAATCTGGTGGAGTGGGTGCTCATTCACGTGGGAAAGGAGGTTACATTTTCTCATTGCAGGACTGACATTGAACTGTAGACATTGGAAGTAGCTTCATCAGCCACCAGCACGTGCCTAAGAGTTTCCAAAGTGAAATCTGTGACCAGGCTTCAAATTCCTTCCCTTGTAAAGAAAACAAACAAACAACCCCCCCCCCCCAAACCAACCAAACCAAAAAAAACCAAAACAAAACAACCAAGAAGGACAGCAATTTGAAAAATCAATTCAAGAAGAGGATTTAGAAGAATACAAATGGATCAGGTTAAGAGGGAGGAGCAATGTATGTATTCACTTTTCCTGCAAGTCAACAACAGGTTTGCAATAAAAAATAAGTGGGCTTGGGGATAACAGAGTGAAGTCAGAAACACACAATGTGAGGAAGACTAAGCAAGTTTAAAAGTCAGGTTTTTTTAGATGAAAGTAATAGCTTTGACCAATCAAATCCAATGGATTGGTCATTTTCTTTGGGAATGTATTTGAAGATTAGTACTCCTCCAGCTGGAGGACATAAATTTAGTGAATGTAACTTTGCTGTCATAAGAGAGTTGTTTAGATACTTTAACAGGTTACATTTAACAGTAACATATTAAGTAATATTTTTGCTTATACTGTTGGGCACTTCAGGTGGGGAGGAAGTGACAACAGCAAGAGACTGCTTTGGTAGGTCACAGTGAGTGCCTTAGTCCTGTCCTGTCCTTCCTGTGCACAAAATTCACAGTTTCAGCTCTTGCCATTTGCTATCTACAAGCAGAACAGCGGGAGCAAAGTGCACCCAAGTGCAGATGTACAGCCAACAGCTGGGTTGGCAAAAGGGACTCCTCAGAGCCTATAGGAGAGTAAGGAAAATTAATTTCTATCTCTGCCTTTTAGGTCCCAGAATAAGATCCCAAACCAGTACTGACCTAGATGACTTTATTGAGGAAGTGCAAGAGAATAGAGGAGAGCTCTATCTTTTTACAGGGATTTGCAGCCAATATTTTTCCCTTCAACTCTCCAGTACATTTTCTACATCAACTTATGTTAATATAATGTCCTCTTGCTTTTGGAGAAGATGCTTTTGGAGAAGCACATACTGGTCTCAGTGATCATCTTTAAAACTGCCTGATGAACATGTTCATTGGTCTATTCTAGATGTTTAAGGATTAGCGTAATTACTTTACACACTCTCTTCTCAACAAGCAGAAATTGTATGGTCTCCCTTTGCATGGTCTGTATGTTTAATTTGCCAGAAAAAGGTGTTCATTGCTTGTTATAGTGTTGCCATGATTCTGGAGAAACAGGAGACCTTGGAAGTTTCCAAAGGAGCCATGTGCCAAGCATCCCATTGCAACCCCACCCTTCGGCTTCCTGCAGGAGACCTTCCCAAATTCCACTGAAGTCCAGAAAGACTTCTACTGAATGTCATAGCTTTTCAAACAGGTTTTCATCATGAAAAGAGGAGTTTCTCTTCTAGAAGAAGAAAAGGAAACCAAGAAGCAAAGCACAAAGAAAAGGCAAAGAACAATGTCAGGCAAGAAGACATTGTGTGAAAAGTAACCATATTCAAAAAGTTGCATTAGTTCAATATGAATATTTTTATATGACAAAAATATGAAGATTCCCAGAGAAAAAGTTTCTCTCAAATACTTGTGATTCTGGCTGAAGCAATAACACTTTTTTATTAAACAATGTTTATCAAGATGGCTTTACCTACAAAAAATTAAGACTTACAATTACTGTTAAACTATGTGATTACTTGACTAAAGGAAAGATGGATCTTAAAAACCCAGCCTATGTTGTAGAAAGGAGCTAATTATTCAGGCAAGCTAAGAAGGAAAGATAACTAGAAAAGAATGAACAATCTATTAAAATCCATCCACTGATTAGGATCTCTGACACCAATTGACACTCAGAATTATTCAAATTAATTTTAGTATTTCTGAATTTCAAATATCATTGGGAAGTTTTCTGTTTCAATTACATTGAAGCACTTTAGCTAAATTTGAAAAGAGCATGTCAGACATTAAATATCTGATTAAAAAAATCATACCATCTGCACAGTAATGCAGAAAATCTATTCCTTGGTAGGTGTAAATATTCTACTGTAAGAATTCCATTGGAAAATACAATTCAGTCTACTTTCCATAATTTCACATGAAAATGTTTCACAAGAAAATGTTAGAAAAAAAGAATCACCAATGCTTTTGCCAACCCCTTGCACAAACAATTCTGGCATTTTCTTTTTAGATGTTCTCTAGTTTTAGAAGAGGAACTTAAAAACAGTTTTAATAAAAGATGTTGTCAATCTTTGTCTTTCTAATGCTAAACATCCCTTGAAGTCTGACTCAATTTTCCCTAGGTTGTTCTGGAAGTACAGAGGTGTATGTCTACCAACACCAAAGGTAGATGACTAACTCTGTAGGAGCGCACATTTGGTTTACACAGTAGGGTTAATAAGGCTGATTAAATCCACTAGAACTTCAATGTTTCTACATTATTTTGGACTTTAACTAACCAGAGAAGATATCAAAAGAATAAGCTGTATTTTTCTCACCTCTATTTTCTCCTTGTTCAAGTTTTACCAGGAAATAACTTTCCTATAGTGCTAGATGTCACATGTAATTTGTGTGATAAATAAGTACTTATACATGATTCCTATACTTATACAGATTTCTATTCACTTACCCAGCCTTTCTCTTATGATCCCCATCAAGCAGGCATTCCTACAAATCAGGATCATATAGCTTCTTTCTGAATTATGTACATATTACATATCAAGTAGTTTTCTTTATTCAGAAATACTGTTTATCAAATTCTGAGAATAAATGTAATTCACGTATATATTCATTCATATAACCACAGTATTAGGATTGTAGTCTTTAAGGACAGGCAACATTGGCTTACCCCATCTTGGCTCAGCTTCCTGTGCTGGGCATTTGATGGGAGATGAGATAAAACAGAAAACAACTGATGTTTAACAGAGCTGCAGACTAACCTATAAAAGAATAATTAATGGCTTGTTGTCTCTAGATTTAACATTAAGTGAAGTTGTTTGT